GGTCAGGACTCACGCAGCAAGCGCTGCTTAACGTGAGCTCTGATCCCAGAAATTCATCCACTCAAAAGATTCGGATCAAATCCCTATAAAAACTGATATAAAACAAATCAGGAATCAAATATGAGATGAAACAAACCAGGAATCACACATAAGACAGTATAATTAGCCTCATTCCTCGGAGAAAAACCAGGAGAACGGAGATATAGTTGGGATAGGTGATGCGTGATGCCCATTTGCTTGAATTCGTTTACATGTACACGTATGTTCGCGTGTTCTAATCCTTAGATAGGCGCTGTATCGTGGTGATGGCTGGAGCTCGCTCTTTGTTTTTTCCCCTGAATGATGGTGCCCTGTAAAAACTGTGCCTTGCTGTCTAAAAAAGACTGAAATATCAAGTAGGATTACCGGCAGACAATTTTGAATTCACTTCTGCCATTGTTTTGCTAAAGGCATGTTGCCGAAATATCAACCCAACTAAATAACCCAACTACTCTCCATTCTATTGGTTTTTCTCCTAGGAATAAGGCTAATACTACTGTCTTATCTATGTGAACAATGTTCCCTGCTAATGCACTGAAAAACTTACGCAAGCGAGGAATAAAAAACAAGCTTCACGAAATAAGCTGCCGCGGCCATTCGCTTAACACTGGTTTATTCGTGCCTTTTATTAAACGCTTACAGTCAGGGACGACGCCAGATTTTTTTCGGAATTTTCCAGACATGTCGAAGGGTCCGCGGATTGAACGCCAGCGTAGGTCGAAACAGGGTCCTAGTTTGCGTCGCAGTCGTAGTAACGTAATTTTGCGCATGTGCGTTCGCAAACCTAAGCAACCAAAATTTCGACGCCAGGCGTTGCAGTCTGCATAGGCAGCACAGTGTTCAGCCCGCGCCCAACACTAGACTGTGGCCAACGGGTGGACGAAAATGATGACGCATCTTCAGTAAGTACCCTAGAACGCCTTAGGGGTTAAATTGCACATTTAGAAGGTAGCTCGGGCGTGTATTTGACCTACGCCGTTCTTTGATTGGTGATAATAACAGACTGACCTTTACGGCACCGCAAAGTGGTGCTGGAATCTGATGGTTATACTGAAAGAATAAAGGTAAATGGCCACTCTCGTGCTGCTTTCATTGCTGATCCATCCAGAGGACAACTTTGTAATGGTAAAAATGATACACCCATTCCAATCTTTGAACTGTACACTAATTTTCAAAGACATTCACAAATATTTTTACGACGGTCGTTCTCGAGGGCTTGGCACCCGCTGCCTGTGGCCACTTGCAATGGCCAACGCCGTTCGGTTTTACGGAAGCTGCAACCCAGGCCATGGTTGTCCTTGCTCCCGAGATTATGGGCGCGTAGGCTGAAACCTTGTAATGTAATTCGTTTCACCAGTTGATTCTGCAACAGAATTAGCGATCTCAGGCAAACATCGAATGGCTTTGTTCGGTTCTGAACTCATTTCGATCCACTGTATTCAACATCAATGAGACCCCTTGCTTCTTTCCGGGAAAGGGGCCCCGGTGAGAAGAAGGGCACATAATTGTTCCCGGTCGAGGGCTGAAGAGTCATTCCACCTCCACCGCGCGTTGTCTTCCGGCTGTCATTCTGACGACACGGGGTGTGATCCCCTGCCGATCCGAAGATCTATAGAGGGATACATCATATCACATTGGTCCCCTCCTTGATGCAGGAGGCCATCTGACCGACACAGCTGACCCCAGATCGGCGGAGGAACCCTCATGGGCGCGACAACATACTTGATCGCCGCAGGGGGTCAAATAACTGACACATAACACCACAGTTTGGCCTAACGGGCCGTTGCTGGAGTTGGACCGGAGGGCTTACGGTTCGGTACTGGAGGCTCTGACTGGCATAAGACCCTTCCATTGTCTTAACGTAAACACCCGTCATAAGTTCTTATGTTTTCTTTTACTGCCAGTGGGCCCCAACCAACGCAGAAGGCCTCTGTCATTCGGGGTCCCGCCCCGTCCCTGTTAGGCAAATCGTGCCCTGATCGGCTCCAGGCCCCCTGTTGACACATGATGGTAGGTAGGCACTGTGGCCGCCTGAACGACACAGGAGCTCCGCATAGTTGCAGGGACCCGAAAAACATAAATATGTGGACCTACCTTTGTCCCTTTTGGGAGATGGGTCTGTCTCAGGGGTCTAACTGACTGACATTTGAGATTCTAACACTAACTGACATTTGAGATCACGGCCTTGCGGACGAGGATCCTTGATGTGACCTACTGTCAGTCCTTCGGGCCCTTCAGCCTTTCAAACGGGTCGTTGATCTTTGGTCTCGAGAGACCCTTTGGCCCCTCTTCGGGTCCCTCAAACACCGTTCTTGGTAGGCTCGGGGTCTCTTGCCACCACAGAACCAACGTTAGGCGCTGTGGCCCCCGGCTGATTGCAACTTGCGAGCCCCGTCTTGTTCCTACTTGGAAAATAGGTCTCAAGGGCTCAGACGGACACGGAGCCGACTCCTTGTTTCCTTGCCGGGGCCCTATATAGCAGGGATAGATGACCCTAATGAGAGAGCCCTTAGAAAAGCCCTCTGACTGACATTTCAGGGCACATCGCTATGGGTAGAGGGCCGGTCCCGAATCCAATCTGGTCCTTGATTATTGGTCCTGAGGGCCTTTTGGTCCCACTTCGGACCTGCTCAAACAAAGCCCGTGACAAACTAGGGGCCACTAGCCAGCATATGACTCCTTGTAGGGCACTGTGCGCCCAATACCGACACAGAGGCCCTAACATTGTTTTAGGGACGCAAACCGATGCAATTCGTGGCCCCCAGTCTTGCCCTTGCTTGGGAGATGATCCTCGGGGTTGTGACAGACAGAGAGCCAATGATCCTCGGGGTTGTGACTGACAGAGAGCCAATGATCCTCGGGGTTGTGACTGACAGAGAGCCAATGATCCTCGGGGTTGTGACTGACAGAGAGCCGACAGTTCGATGTTCGTGGTCTCTAACAGACTTTGACATCTGCGTTGTCTCAGCGGATCCTCACCTTTATGTGAACTACAGCCAGTCCTTCGGGCTCTCACGCGCTCAAACCGGGCCTAAGGTCGTTTGTTCCGATGGGCCGTCCGCAACCCTCTTTGGGCACCATGAAGCACTGCCCTGGGTCGGCTCGGAGCCCATTGTAAGCACAGGACTCTCTGTTAGGCGCTGTGAGCTCCTGATGCATACATGGGCCCCATCCTGTGTAACTAATTGGAGCCAGCTATTCAGCTGAGTGGGAAGTGAACCCTCAGGCCCACACCGGCACGGAGCCGACTGTGCTGGTACTGGTGATGCCTGACCGACGTATAGGCCCAGGTCGACTCAGGGGGTCCTCGATCGGTGCGAGGAGCCCTCTGACTGTCATTTGAGGGCCCGTCCTCGCTGGCCACGGTCCCTGAATAGGACTCCGGCCAGCCCTTCCTGCCCTTAGATTCTCCAATGGGGTACTTGATCGTCGGACCCGGTGGGCCCCTCCAGGCTCTTCGAGCTTCTTCAAACACTGCCTTTTGTCGACTCGAGCCCCTTACCAACACAGGGCCCCCGCTAGGCGCTGTCGGGCCCTGACCGACGCTGGAGTCCCGACCAATGTGAATTGCTGACTCCGGCTTTGTCCTGTGTGGGAAATGGGCTCTCAGGCCCTCGCTGCTCCGAAGCCAACTGTGCGTTAGTGGTGGTGTCTGACCGACATATAGGCCCTTATCGACTCAGGAGCCTTGATCAGCGCACAGGGTGATCAATTCGATTCCCCTCGGCCGTCATTGGAGTGTCCGGCCCTGGCGACCGGGCCCCCGAAAAAGACCTCCGGCCGGCCTTTCGGGCTCTTTGGGCCCCCCAAATTGGGCACGTGATGCGCTCCTTAAAGGGCACGTTTCACTGTTGAAGATACTGAAGCAGGCATCAGATAGGATGAAACCAGCTCACTTATAACTATTGGTTTACCTTTAAGTGGAAAAGATTTCCCCGTACAACACAGCTTTCCGGTTCAGTTAATACGCCCCTCGATACGTCATTGTTTAATTTTGCCATCAAACCTTGCGCAACATTGATGGCAAGCCATTTGACAACCGTTATGTCTGGAAATCGTGTCGTGCTCACGACCGTCAGATACAGTTTGTTTGGCCTTGATCGCCGCATGGCTATGAAATGCCAGGATTTGAATGACGGTATCATGACATCATAAATGATGAGGTGACTATGGCATACTCTCCAACGATTACTGTCACACATCTTTGCAGTCTCAGGAAACGGAGGGATTAGGTCTTAAATTGGGGGCATGGCCGTGAGCTGCATCGGAAGATCTCCAATGAGGCCATTTCAGTTTAAAACACAATATGAATGTGGAACACTCTTTGCATTAATCGTGCCCCACACCCACCTAAGGGGGGGGGGCACGTGGACCCCCGCCCCCCCCCCCATGTTTGCGCTACTCCTGTCAGTAACGCTAGGCTTGTGTTAAGGGAGGATACCGCGTGATCCAGCGGGCAGTTTTACGTGACCTTCAATCCTACTCTATTTGTAACTATACTAATACTATAACTATAACAACTCTAACTATAACCACTATATCTGTAACTACAGCATAGGGCAAGATAGTCTAGTAGTATTTGAAATCTAACCTGCACCGAACACGTCTGAAATGTTTTTTGGTATAAACTGTGTATCCTATACAACAAGATTTCCTGTTTGTGTAAGTTTTCAATCAAACATATCCAGGAAATTACATTTGAGCTTTATTTCGATGAAAATGATCATAAGGTATAGATTAACTCGAAATTAGATGGCATATTCAGAACATCTGTGGACCAGCATAACATTTATATTTTGTAGTATATACCAACTATGTCGGCTCTACTCAACCTTTCGGATTGGACAACCGTGAGCAAGGCCGTGCTTTGCCTGATTTATCTGGCAAATGTTCCCAACCGGGAAACTGAAGTTTCATTTCACTGGGGTATATTGGCACTGGGTGTGTGTGGACAGGGGGACATGGACTCGTTGGGCCTCGGGATGGGCAAGGACTGTAGGTGCCTGACCGCCCCTTTTATATGGGGTTCGATCTGGTCCCATCCCTTGGGAATCCGGAATCGCCCGTCAACCGAGAGGATGCTGGTATGCCCAACAGTAAGAACAGCGAATTTGCCGAACATATTTCGTGGTCCTAAATAGCTCCTGGAAGTACCAGCCCTGTTAGTTGTTGCACCGTATGGTGATGGCACCGTATGGGGGCGGTAAGGGTGGAGGCTATCCCCGAGCCAAGAAGCTTACACTAGATACTAGGTGGTACAAACCCAGGATTTCAGCAAAAGTGTGAATTTTGCCTCTTCCTAAGTCAAAATTTGGCTTTGTCTTCACCCAGATTATTATTGTCTCTGATCTGCCTTGGGCAGCTATCTTTCATGCCTTGGTCATGAAAAAGCATAACAAGGTTAGGTGATTTATGGTATGGCGATGTCTGGGTGTTGTTAATTTATTTGCCTCTCCTGAGAGGTGTGATGCATATTTTTAGAGATAACTTCTAGCTGTTCAGTGAAAACATATTCCAATTCAGTCTGCTGTGGGAGAATTCAGCACCTTTAGTAACTGCCATTGATCATGTACAGTAAAAATATCAAAGGAGACACAACTTATCGTATACCTTTGCTTAAGATGTTTGGTTGCCTCTGAATGCTAGAATGTATTTGAACATTTTAAAATATATCCAAATGTTGTTCGATGCCATGTTTACATTCACAGTGAGCCATGGAAGATTCAACCACAACAGCAGCTTGTTTGATCTGCAAGCATGCACTTGTGGAGCGGCTGAACATATTCAAGACTCGGACAAACTTTTCCAAAACCCTGGTTTCATCTAAGCTTTCCAAATTAGTACAAGTTCCATTTAAACAGGTATGCTGCTTTTCAGTATAGGGCAATTACAAATTATTGGGCCTTTCGAGCCAAAGTGTAGTGTTGTAAAACATGCTGTTTGGGCTGGGGCTGCAAACAAGTATAATTTCCCTACCTTGTGTGTCTTCAAAGTGCATGTTAAATATGTTACTCCCCAGATTTGGGCTATTTTATCAAAGCTGGGCATGTTGCAGCCCCCCTCCAACTTGCTTAGCAAACGACAAAGCTGCTTTTGAATGTTGTTTGTGATTTAGTAGCATTATGCACAGCAAATCATATGTGTTTCCCTTATATGCATTAACGTTACACCTCATTCTTTAAATCCACAATTTGTGGTGTGTTGCACTTGGCTACCCTCTATAAGTTTGTGATCTTGACTCTGAACTTGTCAGTCTAGGGTTTTGAACCTGGCCATGCAGCCACCACATACCACATGGTACCTAATGTAGGTAATCCATCTCGGAGTGGTCCTAGCGGTTGGTGAGAAGGGAAAGCAATGTTGTCCCTGTGGTCTCGGGGAAAGATGCTGGACTCCTTATCCATTGGTGCTGGATGCGAGTGTAGAGGGGCCCATTGTTTGGCTGAGCTGAAATGGAAACCTCTCCCAGCAACCGGCCAGTGGAGGTCAACCCGGGTGGGGGTGGCCGTACCCTAGCATTGTGCGGCATGTCAAACCTCTGCATTCCTGTCTGGCGAAAGGGTGGAGGCAACATTATCCCTTGAACTGGACATCACGACTTGGGTGGCGGTTTTGGGGTGCATGCACCAAGTGATGCTTAGCAGGTACTCTGTACTGAAAACCACCCATGCAAACCATTGGAAGATCTATACTAAGAATGGCTCAAGTCGTGTAATGTTATGATTTACCTGTGTGGAGTGCTCACGTGCTGTCAAGCACTCTGTATACATTTCCCTCCTTTTGCATGTTCCCCTATGATCCTCATTGGAAGCATTTCAATGCCAACTGGCAAACTTTTGTAGTCTTGCCACAAGGATCTCATGTGGTGGCATCTCTGTATGTATCAGCCCACTGTTGTGACTCTCACCCTTCCTTAGGACTCGCTGGAGAACTCTCAGGAAATCTGCAATAGCTGACTCCTCCCTGATCAACCAGGGGATGAGTGTGAGATCAAGCTGATGGCCCTGGAGAATGAGGTGTGGACCATTTTCTTTTCTTCCTGAAGCTTTGGCACGTTTTGTTTCATGAACATGGCCTCTTGGTTGTTGTGCATTAGGATGGCTTACCCGCATCTGTGCATAGCAATTCAATGATGAAAACTGCATTTGTACATGGATGGTTGTCTGCTTGCTCAGGGGACCTGTCTGCTTTAAGTTGCTTGTGCGGCAGCAAGATGATTTTCCATTTGCCCTTTTGGTTATGTGTTACATATAAATGAACACTGTGATTCATGGCTTTGATTTTGATGTTTGTTGGACATTTCCTTATCATTTGCTCATTGTGGCCCTGTGAGCACAATTTTTCTGAAGCCCAATTATGCACTTTCATCATGGAATGCAATGCTTTTGACCACACTAGTTAGTTGTGTCAATGATACATGCAACAAGCTTAACTATCACATGTCTTCTGCCTCACCATACTTTATTTTGAAGCTGCTCATACCTCATCAACGAAACCTAGTGGCGTTCCCAAAGCCCGACAGTGACCGTGCTGCCATCTCTGTGCGGTCAGGTGAAGCTCAAGTACAAGATGCCTTCCGATCGAAGTGCACAGCCGACGCTCGGACGGGCAGTCCGCTGATGATGTGAAGCAGGAGGGCCGCCGCCGCCGCCGCCGACGGAGGAGGTCGCGGCGACGGCGCAGGCCTCGCAGGAGTTCAGCTTTATCAGCATTGGTCAGTAGGGTCACTGCTTCTGCAGACCCAGGGTGTTTATGGTTGAAGCGATAGCACAATGGGTCCCAAGATGGTAAAACGTGGCATTTTTGCTTTCTCCCTCCTGAAGCCCCCAGTTACTGCATGGCCCTGTGCAGTCTGTACACCGTGAAATACAAATGCTCATCATTCACTTAAGGTCTAGCCTTCGTGTAATTGCTTTCAAAACTCTTAGGTGATTGTTCCAAAAACTCAACTTTGCACTGTTTGGAACATGATTCCACCAGACCATATATTTGATTCCGGGAAACTCCTGTGTACTGCACTGGGGGCGGACAGGCCGCTCAATATTTCTAGAAATTAAATATTAGTAATTACAGTAGATATCGCGACAATATTCTGTGCTGATGTGGGGCTACAGTGAACCTTAGCAGTGGCGAGTGTACTGTGCGATCGTCGTTAGATCCGTAATGGATCCCTGGTGTAGAATCCCGTCCATCGGCGCTCATGACCTACTACAGTCGATGCGCCCTAAAACCCCAATCATCATCATCAATCCCGTCCATCGATCCCCATCGGCGTGCGCGACCATGGTGACTGGAAAAGTGTTATGCTGACAAATATCAGACAATGAACCATCTCAAGTGATGTGACAGAAGGGAACCATCTTCAAGTGATGTGACAGAAGGGAACCATCTTCAAGTGATAGATGGAGCAACCATATTGAAGTGGTATGACGAAACAAACATATTAAAGTGACATGACCATCACTGCCTCCTGCTCTGCAGATGGCACGACGCTAGATAACCCGACCATCGTCTTGGAGGCGGACGAAGTGGACGGAAACAACGTGGTCGTCTACCGGGTCAGGCTGCCAGGCTGCAGCTGCAGTTGAGCACGGCAAGGCCTTTGCCCTGCCCAGTGCCACCGCTGTGCGCGCGGAGTCAGGCTCAGGCTGTAGCTGCGTTTTGAGCGCTGGATGACCCTGCTTGTGTTCGGTTCCAGCGCTGTGTGGGACAGGACAGGCTGTAGCTGCATTTGGGCGCGGCGAGGCCTCTGCTGTGCCCGGCTCCACCACCGCTGCGTGTGGTGTCAGGCTCAGGCTGTAGCTGCAGTCGAGCGCTCGAGGCCTCTGCTATGCTGGCTCCACCAATGTGCGCGGCGTTCGCGGGCGGGTCTTTCCCACGCGCCAGCCAATTGGCTGACAGTCGCGTGGCACTTTTGTGAACTCCGGGAGTAGCTCGCATGACGCCCTCGCTTTACACCCGTGAGGGAATCAACTGATAACTTTCGACCCTTAGAATACATCCCTCCCCCCCTCTGAACCGCACGTGAGGAGTCGGTCGGCTGGCCGCCCCGGTGTCCCTGCCGCGCGCGGGGTTCTCCGGCGCCGCGGGCCGGGCGCTTGTTGACGCCGCTCTGTGGCGCGCGCAGGAGCCGTACGGCGGCCAGCTGACCTACGACCCGTCCATGTCGTACCTGGCCCAGCTGGAGGCGTCCGAGCTGCACGAGCAGGACGTCGTCGGCGATCAGGTCAGCGGCCGCAGGGTTCAGCGGTTGACCACGTAACCTGACCACGTGACTCGACCACATGGGCTTGACCACGACTGATCCCTCGCATCCAGACCTGAGCCCTTTGATGACTTTTTGTGTTTCAGTAGTGTTTATGACCCCCACAGGAGTCAATTGCTATTTCAATCCAGGATCTGATAGCTGACCAGACAGCGCAGCAAAGCTCTGACACAGTGACCAGATAAGTCCAGGTGGACCTAGACCCTGTCAGACAACCCAGGTAAACTCTCGACTCCTTAATCAGGTAACCCTGGCTAAACTTGGGTCTTGTGACAGCTAATCCCAGATTTATTCTGACGCCATGGCTGAGTTACTCAGTTAGCTGTGACGAATTATGACCTTTGACGACCTTATTTGAACTTGATTTTCTAACAGATTTTTGAACTTGAACAGAATTCCCTCACACACACACAGCAACTGGCACAGTGACCTGCTGACCTCATTTGACTGCTATGGCCATGACCTCAAACTGCCTCTAACGATGTGACGTAATAATCTCAACACATGTCAACAGGCGCGATGTTCTCTACTGACCTCGGCTGACCCGTACGACCTCGTGACCCCAGGTGGATGTCTATGCCACACTTATGTGACCTCTTCTGGCCCAATTGACACATGGCATGTGTCATTGTGACCCCGGATGGAGCATTCCAAACCACACTAATGTACCTCAGCTTTACTTGGGACCTTGTGGCCCCAGGTGGATCGGTGTGCACCACACTGGCGCGTTGACCCCCTGCTGACCTCAGCTGGCCGTTGATGACCCGTGACGTGCTGACCCCAGGGGGCCAGTCCTTAATACACCACAGACGCTCGATGACCTCGGATGACCTCCTCTGACCTTGGATGACCTTATGACCCCGTGACCTCGTGACCTCAGGTGGGCCAGTCCGCAACACCGGTGCGATGACCTCGGATAACCTTGGATGACCCGTGTGACCCCGTCACCGCAGGTGGGTCAGACCACGCCACACCGGCGCGTTGACCTCTGCTGACCTCGGCTGACCCGTGTGACCCCGTCGCTGCAGGTGGGTCAGACCACGCCACACCGGCGGCGCCGCGGCCCGAAGCGGAGCCGCCTCAGCGGCGGGGACGACGCCCTGACCTGCGATGTCTGCGACGAGACGTTCAGCACGCCGACCAACCTTAGGGGTGCGTGTCCGGCCCAGCTGGGAAGCCGTGGTGGTAGCTGCCATGCAAAAGATAGTCTCTACCCTATCTACCGTTTTCCTTTTGGTACTTTCCTGCGGTCTTTCAAAGGTTTTCGGTAGTTTTTTGTTTTGGATGTCTAACTGCTGATTAGATGCCATCTTTGTTAGCGTGCTGCAACCTAGTGATGAATTTATTATTGCATTTGTGACTACTGGTCAACGACGTCGCCCTGACCTGAGGTCACCCACACTGACCTGAACTGAGGTCACTCGCCCTCACCGCCACCTGTTCTGACCTGATCTTAGATGACCTGTTTAGCATAAATTGATTGTTATGGGCACTGCGTGACCTTCAGCAGTTGATGCGCCCTTAAACCCCAAATCATCATCATCATCATCGTCATCTGACCTGAGTTCACCAACACTGAACTGACCTGAGATCACCTGACCTGAGGTCACCCACTTTGGCCTGACCTGAGGTCACTAACACTGACCTGACTTGAGGTCGCCCGGGCCTACCTGACTTGACCTAACCAGTCTGTCCGCAGCGCACAAGGTCTCTCACACCAGCGACAAGAGCTTCCGCTGCCGCTTCTGCCGGCGCGACTTCTCCACCAACATTGCACTCCACTACCACTGGAATGAGGTGAGCACAGCCCGCCGGCCAGCACAGCCAGGCTAGGAATGTTGATGATGTCGGATGCTGTGTGTGGGGTGCACGAACCAGGAACCGTCGGTCGACCGTCAAATTGGGCTTGGAAACTTACAAGACGTAACGTGATTGAACCCGAAGTCCCATAGAAATTAATTTTCACCAACATCGTGCGATGACGATCGAAGGAGCGTCAGGGAAGTGACAGGACCGCTCTCCAGGGGCCGATGCTCGTGCTCCACATCTGTGTGCTGCCGTATTTGCAGTGTGCCAGTGAGCAGATCTGCATCACTCACGAGAGAGAAGTAAAGCATTGGGGCGTTCGGAAGGGCGGCACCTAACGCCTGTGTGTGCGGTGTATTCATAAACCACCTCTAATGCATAGCCATATAGTCATGGTTACAAATCATAATAATCTGATCTGGTCTGTCTCTTACACCGGACCTGTCTCTGATGCCTGGTCTGTCTCTGACTCGTGGCCTGATTCTGACACCTGATCTGTCTGACGCCTGACCTGATTCTGACGCCTGACCTGTCTCTGAGACCTGATCTGTCCATCTGCTGGCGCAGGAGCACCCGCTGAAGCTGCAGCCGTGTCCGTATTGCGACAAACGCTTCATTAACAAGTCCAACCTCAATCAACACATCAACCCATCAGGAGCCTCGTTTCACGTGCGATGTAAGTCTTGCTTTTGCATCGGTGTCAGCGCAAAAAGACCGAAGGAATGAACCGGCCTCATTATCCCAACGAGATTTCTAACAAGATTTCTTGAATCTTTCGACACAAAAAGAAAAGAAAAAAAAGATGTACTTATCCACAGCTGTTATAAAGATGCTCGCATCTACAGATGTTTGTGTTGTAAAAGCTGTGTATATGGAAAACAAAC